GGGAGGGAGGGAGGGAGGGAGGGAGGGAGAGGAGATGGGGGGCCGAGCCAAAGCAAAGTGCGAGACACGAGGGGAGGGGGCTGCCCAGGGGGCCCCGCGCGCCGACGTCAGCTTCCTCCGAGAGCACGCAAGCAGCCTGGTGCGCATCGCCCCCTCGCGCCGTGTCCCGTCGGGTGCGGCCCCGGAGCAGGGGGCTCCCAGGCATGCGGATGATAGCGCCTGGCCGGGGGCCAGTCGCATTCCATGGTAGCCCTCCAGATCTCGGATCTGGAGCGGTGAAACATTCAGAATGCGATCTTGATCGGGGCGCGTGTGTTTCCGGGGGTGGCCGTGTCGTGGTCTCAATCTCCCCCCGGACGGGTGACACCGCGAGGCCTCGGGGGGCACCATGCGCCCATAATCCAGGATTAATATATGCTAATGAGTATGCATGGGGCCAAACTCGGCCGGGGGTCGAAGCATGCGCACGGGCCCCATGTGCCCCGATTGCTGTGGCCCAGGCAGGGCGCCGGGGTGAATTGCTCGCGTCAGGCCACTGGCTGCCGGGGCGAGGCGCGACCGGCCGGCGCGTGTGCATGATGTGTGTCCTTGGATCGGGGTGCTGGTGCGCGGTGAGGCCTTTGTCCCGGCTCCCGGCGGCCGTTTGCTCGCTGCCCGACTTCCGGCATGTGGGACTCACAGGAGGAGCTTGTCGCGTGCGCCGACGACCGGGGGCCGGCCCGGGGGAGGCGCATCCCGCCGGCGGCGCACGTTGCTGCCAGAAGGATCTCCCACTTTTCCGGATGTGTGGGCCTGGACATTGGGCGAAGTGCTGCCCTGTGCCGGGGCCGGCCCACGTGTGTGCCTGGGCGCGCGGGGGACGGCGGGGGATAGCCTCATCTTGCCGCCGCGCGGATGGCCTGCCGGTGCGCCCCCGGGTGGGGCTGCTCTTGTGTGGTCGGGCCTCGACCGGGGAGGGTCCTTCTCTAGGCGATCCGGCGATCGGTGTGTTTCCCTGCCCGGGCGCCTGGCGCCGGGGCCCCGGGATCTGGCCCTGCGCGGCGCGCACTCGCGCGCGAGCCACCCCCCTGGCCGGGGTCATAGGAGCATGCCGGCTTCCCGGGCCGCCCCGCTGGCCAGAGAGGCACACCGCCCTGGCGATCCCCCCCCCCCCCCCCGGCGCGAGGGCATCCTCCCGTATCCCGGGCAGCAAGGGGGGACGGGGGGCGCGCCGCCATGGGGCTCCGGCGTGTGTCGATCGTTGCGAACTGCGCGCCGGCAAAGGCCCGGCAGGAGCCGTTCGAAGGGGGACTGTGACACGCGCGAGTCGGGTCCCACTCTCGGCCGGGGCGTGTGTCCGCGCTGTCGGCAGGCAAGGGCAGCCTAGGTGGTCCACGGTGCGTCAACTCCCATGCAGGGCCCCCATGGCCCAGGTCCCGCATGGCCGGCACCTTCCCTCGTCCCACCACACCGTTTCATCCTTTGGGGCGCACATGGCACGGGTGTAAGTGCGCGCGCGCATGGGAAGGGGCGCGGGGTGCAACGGGCCGGGATCCGCCAGCACCGCCGAACACCCGGCGTCCCGGGCCCGGATGCGTCGGCAAGTCCGCGCCGTTGTCGTCATGCTCACCCCCCACCCCCCGGGCAATCCCGACCAGCGCCCCAGCGAATGTGCCTCCCCGAGCGGCATCTACACGTCGGCCCCGCCGATCGGGCCAGATACCGGGCGGGCGAGATGCCGGCTGTCAGGCTGGGCTGCTGGCCGGCCGCGCAAATTGCCCTCCCGCCTCGTCTTTCCGAAGGCCAATTCCATGTGCGATCTCTGTCACAGGCCGCAAGAGGGGGCCGGAGGGTGGGAGGGGGGGCGGGGCTGCCGCACAGCGTAGCCACCGGGGAGGCGCGTCCACTTGTCCGTGGCCGGCAACACGCCGGTGCCATCGCCCCACACTTCTGGCGGCGTGCGGAAGCTCGGGGTGCGTGGTGCGCTCGACGAGGCGTGCCAACCCTTCGGCGGCATTTCTCCCTTTTGCTCGTGGTGGGCACGCGCGACCGCCTGACACGATGCCTGCTCGGTGCCTGCGGCCTGGCGGCAAGCGGGGGAGCGCACGCCGGTCTCAGTCGCAAGCTCGGCCCCGCGCGGATGGCCATGCCGTTTCTTTACGGGCCCAGCGCGCGCGCGCGCGCGCGCGTCAGACCCCGGAGGCATGTTCTTCGGGCGGGGTGGCGCGGGCTCCGGCCCACGTCCGGCGCATGGTGGTGCTCCCGGGTCGTGCCGCGTGAAAATACGCCCTCCCAGCGGTAGGGCAGCGGGCGACCGACCGCCGGTGCTGCTCTCCTGGTCGGTCGGGGGGGGGGGGGGGGCAAGTCCCTCCCCTTGCCCCTCCGCCCGGCGTGCATGAGTCACTGGTGCGTGCGCATGGGCGCCATACACCGGGCAGGTGCCCCTGGGCGTGTGGCATCCGGCCCGCTGCCGGAGGCCTCCCTCTGCGGGTGTGTTGCCCGACCATGGCCACCCGCGCTCGGGGCCGATGCATGCTGGGTGATCGTTTCGCGGCCCCGCCTCGCGGCGCCCCACGCGGCATTCGCCCCTGGCACGGGGCCGAGGGCGGCCATTGGAGCAAAAGATAATCACCCACACCAGTCAATCCTCCGACTGTGCTCGAGGCGCCCCTGGCAATTTTCACCCCACGGCTCGGCCCCCGGCGCCCGACGCCGGTCCTTAAAAGACGCCCGGCGCCCCACTCCCGGACGAAACCCGGTCGAGTGTTCCCTTCCCCGAAAGTCAGAGGATCCCTCGCGCCGCGTTCGGCCGGCCACACGACCCGGTGGGGCGCCCCCGGCCCGTCCGACATCGTGGCTCGCCGGCCGATCGTTGGGAAGTGCGGCCCGCCAATCGCCCCACTTCCAGGGGGCCGCACAAGGGCGCCGGCCAGGGGAGCGGGCGGGCGGGTGGGCGAGCGGGCGGACGGGCACCGATCGGGCCGTGCTCCCGGCGCCCGCCAAGATGGTGCCCCACGTCCCACGGGTCCCGCGCAAGGATCGCCGCGAGCGGGGTCTTCTCTTCGGGCGCGCCTGGGACACTCCCCCCCC